TTTCTGAATTTCTGAATTTCTGAATTTCTGAATTTCTGAATTTCTGAATTTCTGAATTTCTGAATTTCTGAATTTCTGAATTTCTGAAAATCTCGGAAAGTGGGACCAAACATCTGAAACAGAAAACAGTAGAAACCAGCGTCACACATCTCTTGTCTCTAGAATCTTCTATTTTTTTGGATTGTAAAAACTTCCAAAAATCATGTCAACAACCTATACACACGTGTAGAGAAAATAGAGAAACCAATGAAACAGGGGAAGAATTGATAAGATATTGATGCGCAACAATTTGTACTTGAATTGACCGGGAAAAATGGAAAAAGAAATCTGAATTTCTGAATTTCTGAATTTCTGAATTTCCGAATTTCTGAATTTCTGAATTTCTGAATTTCTGAATTTCCGAATTTCCGAATTTCTGAATTTCTGAATTTCTGAATTTCTGAATTTCTGAATTTCTGAATTTCTGAATTCCTGAATTTCTGAATTTCTGAATTTCTGAATTTCTGAATTTCTGAATTTCTGAATTTCTGAATTTCCGAGAAATTTCATATTCTCGACATATTGAAGAGCACACAATACCTTATTCCCCCACTCCCCCTCCCTTGTGTACGCCATCGGCCGCCTGGGAGAAATGTGATCAGGTGGCCGAGTGGTTAAGGCGATGGACTGTTTTCCTATTTTTCGCGATTTTTTCAGAAATCGCTTTTCAAACTTTTGAATATTTGCATTTTCCCTGAATTCGAATCACAAAAATTTTTTTGAATATTTAAAATAGTTTATTTATACATTTTACAAAATACAAAGTTATACATTCAGCTAGCGGGTTAAAAAGTACAGTAAACCTTATTTCTTCAAATATCAAGAAAATTATCCATAGTATCCACCATATCCTCCGTATCCGCGCATACCGTATCCCATACCGTATCCTCTACCGTAACCCATTCCACCGTATCCCATACCACCGTATCCCATTCCACCGTAGTATCCTCCCCAACGACGGAAGCGATCATGGCTGAAAATTTGGGGAAAATTTGGAAAATTTTGAAAATTTCTGGGTTAAAAAATTCAAATTTTCAGTCAAAAATCTGAAATTCCAGATCCTAAAATTTCATCCTGACCAATATAGTTTTGGCGGGAAGTTAAAAATTTTGGATTTTTTTTTTAAAATCCTTAAAAATACATTTTTGACTCAAAATTTTGAAAATATGGATCATTTTGGGGTTTTCTGGACCGTAAAATTCAAATTCCCAGTCAAAAAGGAGCTCAAAAATCATCTTACGTCTCAGCCTGAGCACTCATTTGTTGATCTCCAGTATCCATTTGAGTATTAACCTCTGCTCCTGGTCCCGAACTCATTTTTGTCTCCATCTCAGCTCTTTTATCAATGGGATGGCTGAAAATTTTAGATTTTTGAAAGGAAAAATAAGATTTTCAAGGATTTTTAGCCCGGGAAAGTACGAAACTCGAAGTGGAAAAGGTTAATTTTAGGCTTTTTGGCTCTAAAAAACTATATTTTGTGTCAAAAATATCCATTTTTGGGCTCAAACTCTCCTAATTTTAGCCCCAAATCTCAAAAACTCACTTTTGAACAGTTCTAGTATGAGTGGTGGTCACTTTGGCTTTGGTTTCAGTTCCTGGCTCGGCATTCAAATTAACATCAGTGTTAATTTCCGTCGCAAATGCTCCAAGAGCCAAAATAGCCAATAGAATT